GACATTTAATATTAAAAATAAAAAAACTAGGGATATCCAAAATTGACCCGATCCCTCATAAGCAGTCAATTGACATTTGATAATAAAAATTAAAAAAAAAACTAGGGATGTCAAAAATTGACCAGACATGCCAACTCGATTTGAACCTACTCGAAAAATCTAGGTTCAGGTTGAGCGAATACTTTTCGGGTTGGGGTCCGATCTCGGGTTAGAATTCATAACCCGTTTAATTTTTTGGGTCGGGTTCGGATTGTCCTGCTAACCCAAAAATGACTTGAAATTAAACCGCCAACCTAAAATTTTACTCAAATTCGACCCACCTATCCGAAATTGACCCAAAATTGACTCGAGATTGACCAGATTTTGACTCAATTTGACAAAAATCATTGTTCACTTATATTAAACAGGTTAAATGGATCGGGTTTGGGTTAGCCTTGTATGGGTAGAATCGGGTTCAAGTTTAGATTTTCAACCAGTATAATATTCGGGTCGGGTTCTAGTTGAATCTATTCGGATCATGATAGTTTAGGACTGGACATTAACCCGACACGCATGCTCGAATTGACACGCCTAAAAAACTACATTCAACTACTTATTGATCCAACTAGAGATCAAACTAGGTATAGTTCAAATAAAAAAAAATATAATAATAACTAAAGTAAATGACAAAAATAACTAACAACAAAAACAGTAATAAGAAATATAATGCATCTAAAAAGAGATATAACCACCATATGATATTTGTTTGAGCCCCATAAAAATGGTTGAACAGGTTGAGAGCATATAATCTTATAAATCATTGAAATATTTGTCGAGTCCTCAATAAAAAACTCATCCTTATTATATACCCTCATATGCCCCCTTTTTTACAAACAAGTAATGATTTGTGAAATTAAACACAACCTTTGGGATTTTCATAATTTGTAATATTTTATATTCTCCGCAGTCGATTTTCATCCAGAGCATGTTAGCAAAATCAATATTAGAACAGCATGCCTCAAGCTTAGAGCCAATGCAAAACTTGTCTGAGACAGAAAATGGGATTTATGATGTGAGAAGTTTCACCCACACCAACACCAAACAAAGATTTAATATTTGGCTTGAAGGAGCTTAAATGGAATAGCTAGAGTTTGAATATTGCTCAGATAATTGAGCACCGCCACAGAAGAATGCATTTAAGAGAGATTAAAAATGTACCACTTATTTTAATGAAAAAAAAGAGGAATCATAGTTGTGTTTTAACTTTGACATACTACAGATGTAGAGTATTAGTATCCAGGGCACAACCAATCTTTCTTTTGAGGGTGGGCAAATTTATAACATTAATAAATTAATTTAAAAAAATGAATAACACATGATTCAAAATAAAATCTTGCATGTTATTATTATCAATAAATTGAACTATGATTACAAATTTTTTAATTTATTTTGAATTTCTTTATAATATTGCACAATAAGTTCCTTGAGAATCAAGTCAAATACTTCATTAATAATTTATGATATAAGAGAGTCATTGAGTCATTCATCACACATTCGATTAAGTAATTGATGTTTAAAAATCTTCAATGTTGAAAATGTTTTTTAAATAGTAGCAGTAGCAATTTTATAAGTTAAGATAATGAATCTATAAACTAAATGATAAATATAATCTTTCTTTGCTTTAATAAATTGTTTTATAATATCTGCAATATTGCTTAAAAATGAGAAATCATCACTAGCGTGCATGCTCATATAAGTGAATAGCTGGTAATCGAGAGTTATAAGCTCAACTTTAGAAAAATTATTATGATATAACTGTGCAAAGTGAATTAAATTTTTTTCATAAAAAATAGAAGATAAACCACATAGAATTAGACACGACACACAAAGAAATAACTCAGTATTTAATGGTTATTGAACTCTTAAAATTACGTATCAATCATAGTGCAGAACAGCTCAACATGACAAGTAAGAGCAGACCCTCGCCATGAATTTGGTAATTTTCTTCATTAAGGTGGGTAGCTATGCAATTTGGCCCACCTAAAAATTATAAGATACTCAAGCCCCAGCCCTTGGGCACAAAATTGACGAATGCTGAATGACGAATGGCACCAAGCCTCTCTTGTTATTTGCTCAAGCCAGAAGCCACGAATGTCTCCCAAGACACCAACATAAATCTCACTACGAACACCAGTCGCAGGCCCACTAGGAAAACCAATCTCATTCCAACATCATCTCCTGTATCCAAGATAAAGAACAAGCCTATGTATATCCTTCTCCCCATAGTTTCTACTCGAATTTTTCTCTAATTAAACATTTTTTGTGATCTGGAGGACACAAATTTGATCTTTGGAAAAAGCATCTATGCAATGGAAGGTTTAGGTTACCACAGGAACTTTTATCACGAATATTGTGATTTAAGTTCCAAAATTTTAGGCAATTTTACTTTTTTTTTAAATAAGATATTGTTATTTTTTGTTAAAATTCTTAGCTAGTTTGTTCCTTAATATTCTTAGACATTTTGTTCCTTTTTGTTTCTATGTTATCGGATTGTTTCCACACACTATATATAGGTGTGTGCTCGCTTATTAGAGAGGATTGACATATTTCAATTTATTGGAGACAACAAAATGTGAGGTTTTGTAAAGTCGTGGTAGTCGTCGGTGAGCTCTGCTTGGTAAAGTCATATCCCAAATACGGTTGTAACGTATAACGCCGTATTAGAGACAAGACGATAAAAGTCGGCCTTCATAGCCCCCAACCACCGTCGACCTCAGACGTCACCATTTGCTTTCGTTAACCACTAGCCACCAACGACTACTGTTTACGACTGTCATAGCCAGAATATTACGGGTGTACCTAACACCTATTTCTTTATTTAAATTGTATACTGACAAATGTAGTGTCTAATGTAAACTATAACCCCATTCTAAAAGAAAAGGTTCAGTCACCGACTACCACCTATGTGAATATAATTAAAATTCATTAATATAATATTTTTTCATGGTCACCATCCATATTTACATCTTAAAATAGACGGAATGCGGGAAGCAAAGATGGAACACAAAAAAATTTGATTTAACAAAGCGTTAGATTTAATTTTCGTTTTTTATTTTTTTTATATTGGACTAAACTTACGCTAAATCTATGGCTAAATTCTATTTAAATTACGCTACCAAATACCGCCAAAATAGGATTTATCAAATCTAGCAATTCCATAAATCTGGATTTATTAAATCCAGTGTGTGATGGAGATGAAGCTCGCGAGCGATGAAATACATTTACCTCGCACTCGAATTTTAGTAAATCTGGATTTACATCGTAAAAAAGGAGCACAAGAAAGAAAGAAAGATAAAACGTGAAAAAATTTGATTTTACAAAGCTTTGGATTTAATTTTCATTTTTGTAGGTGTTTGTTTGGATTTAAGTTAAATCCATTACTAAACCCTATTAATAGTATGCGAGCAAACACCGCCAAAGGTGAATGAGATGATAAAAATGCATAAGATCTGAACTTCTACCAAACTACTTGAATAAAACAAACGGCATGTAGCAGGTAAAAAAAAAAGGTTTACGACAACTCAAAGATTTTCAAAGATTTTCAAAAGATAAAATAAACATGAGTTTATAGAAATTAAAATTTCTACCTGGAATCTACAAGAAGCATCTTTTGAAAGAATTTCTGGAGCCATTAGTGAAAGAACATTAAAACAATCTGGGTTTTTTATTTCATCAACATATATCTTGGATCCAAAAGCCCTTGACACCTGAACAAGTATATCTTCCTGACCAAGCATATCACAAGCAAGATACACTACCGATGCATTTGGGTGCTTCCATATGCCCTTTATTACCTAAGTGTAATTATCCAGTTAGATTTACTCGACAAAAATAAAACAGAACAAGGGATATATCAATCAAAAAAACAAATAAAATAATTTCAACAATTAAACATCATAAACCTGTTCGATGGCTAATTTTTTGCTTGGAATCTTAATAGAGCATCTGCCAAAGGTACAGTCAAGAAATATATAGTCTAGGATACAATCCTTCCCTTTCTTATTGGCATACTTTAGAGGCATATTTTGCAGGCACTCAGGGTTTAACCTGCAATCCCCGGTATGCAGAATATTACCAAATTCACCTTCAAACAAGAACATAACAGCACCTGACAAGAGCATAACAAGAAAAATAATCAGTGTTGTTCCAATTTTTACCAAATTTTTTAAGTTAATGCTTTGGCACAGTAGTTGATCTTAAATGATTAAAAAGCTTCCCACAAAAGAAATCAATGCTGAAAGAAGGCATATAAAGCTATCTCAAATTGCTACATATAAGAGGATAAATCAAGAAAAAATTTATTGCATTTCGCTCTAAGCCAAATGGCAATACATTCCAATAAAAAAAAAAATCAGTTGTTTGCTTTAATGATGAATGCTTGGTTGCCACCGGAAGAAGGTGGAGAGGTAGGCAGTGGAAGAAAATAAGGATGAGAAAGATAAGATAATTGCAGAGAAAAGGAAAAATAAAGACAGATTGGAAAAGTCCTAGACGTTTCATTAGTTTGTAAAGCAAAGGCTAAAGCCAGGTATGCCCCTTTGTTTGCATGATATCTTCCTTCTAAGCTCAACATATAACGCATCCCACAACTCTTAACAACTTTGAAAAACCTAACGAATGATATTCTGGCACTTGTCCGAGCAATTAAAAACTTCAGAGAAATAAAATAAATATAATGCGAGAGTATATTTTAAATCCACAAAGCACCCTACTAGTTTTTCACCAAATAACAAACTGTGAGTTTGGTGGGCAGGTGTTTTTCCCACCTTGCCTGCTCCTCATTTAGATGATTCTTCGCCACTATGTTTGTGAAGATGTCTATAGATGGATCAATTCTCGTCAGTAACAAAAAAAATTGTCTCCAAGATTCAAATCGAGTGGAATGGTACTCAAATTATCTTTAGCAATCCTATTGGACAAGTTGGCATTAGAAAATATTATTGTGAAGATGTAGGCAAATGCGAGGAATTGTAGCAGGAAGCACAATGACTAATGGTGTTGGGTGACTTTTTTTGTGAAACTTAGGAGTGTAAAAAGTTTTGGATTTTTATTTTAACATTTAAAGAAGGCTTTTGGATCTTGCGGTAAAGTGATTAGAAATGCCAAGACTAGTCTAAATTTGGATGGTTTGGTCTATTTTGAAAAATCACATTGAAGAATTAGAATTTCATGTTGTACAAAGCTGAAAATGCTTGTTCATAGTTGTCTTAGGATATGTATTTATGACCTAGAGTGGATGATTAAATTTCAAGGAGTTTATGTGGGTGTCAAGGGGATGATAACAATACTAGGTTCTAGTTTTGTTTAGCTTGACCAAAAGGTCTAAAAGAGTTTTTGAAGTGAATTTAAGAGTTGCATTATTTAGTAGATGGTTTTATAGAATTTTAGGGATGTTGAGAAAATATTAATAATGATGATAACAAGACTTAAGATAATTAAAAACAAAACTTAAAAATAAAATAATGATATATACAAAATCTCACAAAACGAAAAAGCAAACTTGAGTCACCAAGCACCAAGCCAAGAAAGAACAATTCTTCACTCAATAATTTTCATTCAACAACTAAAAATGTTCATTACACATCAACCCTATTAATAGGAATAGCATCAACCAAAATTCGAAAAAAAAAAAAGGAAAGAAACTTTGAAGAGAAATATAGGAGGTTCTTAATAGAGAAAAATTTCAACACTTTTCTAAATTGATTATTTTTTTATCATGGCTAGCCCATGCAAGCCTTCAAATTTAAAAAGTAAAACTTCTAGAAATTAAATTTTAGTTTTAAATAACAAATTTTAAAATTCAATTGTTCCTTTTTTATTGCTCTCTTTTGATGAGTATTGAATGAGTTATTGTTTGGGCTCTAATAATTGGATATTTGGCTTTATTTTATTGATCCATATGATATGCTACTTCAATGACAGCCTAAAGTTTGAAGACAAACGAATGTTGGTGCAAAATTGTAAAGAAATAGACAGTAGCAGGAAAATAGAGTAAAAGAACAGACAGAAAAGAGTAATCTCTATACCATAAAGTAATGTTTCTTACAAGAAAATCATCAAAAGCTACAAAGAGCATACTGGACCATCTATATATTCCACTAACAACTAACTAATCAATTGTTTAAACTAACTAATATAAAAGTAAAACAAACAATAATTAAAATATTAGCCCCTAAAATGGGATATAATTGTAAATATGCATCCCGCATCAGTTCCCTTCTGCCTAAGAAGCACTCCGCTCGAGTTATGTGAGTTGAGTTTGGTCATCGTCAGGAGGGTGATATTTATACAGATCAGCCACATTAAATGTGGGCGAGTGATGTGTATCTGCTGGTAACAACACAACATATGTGTTATGATAATGAATATTGCATCTGAAAAAAAGAAATTTTTGGGGTTTAAACTTAGGAAAAGCTTCATTCGTTAATTTTTCTTTGGGGGAGTGGAGCGAATCATAACCAAATCTACAATTTGAAAAAATATCTTCCGTCTGTGCTTATCAGTATTACTTTTATACTTATGATTTTTAAGTGTAAGACGGTCTTTCACATTCTCAAGCATCGGTTCTAAGTTTGTGACCATGTGTGTAGCACAAGAACTACTTGGTTCCGACAAGATAGAAATAACAAATGTATGGTTTGGTTCTTTAGTGTATACAATACTAAAAAGACTTCTAGCAATATTGACTGTCTTTGTGCTCGAGAAATCGTGGGTTCCTCTGTGCGGTAATTCCTCTTTGTATTGTATTATGCCTACATTGTGGTTCTCTATACTCAAGATGGGGAAGGTGCAAGTAAGATGACGGAGTTGAGTGAACGAATTATGGATGCTATGGTTGGAGGATGATTGAAGGGAACGTTAGTTTTTTTTTTTTCATTATAATGATTATTGAAAGCATTCACTGTTTATTGTTTCAGTACATTATACAAGACATGTATAATTTTGTTTTTTATGCATTTGATATTTATTGTATCAATTTTTTTTTTTTTTTTGCAAGTAATATGTGCTTCTTTTCCTTTTGCATGTATTTTCCTCCTTCTTGGATGGCTGATGAGGCAACCATGGGTAATATGTGTATCCTGAGTGTTTTTTCTTTGGCGGATTTTGACCTTCTATTACAAAAACCAATATTACATAAACAAAACAAACTCCGAAGGAAACGATAGAGGCACGTACCCGGACAATGATTCGCATCAAAAGCACGCACTGAAAAATCCCCATCCGGATCTTTGATAACCATTAACTCACCCAACTCAATCTCCACAAACAAAGAATCCTCAAGCTGAAAAAGTAAAACAGCAGGCAATTGAACCGAACCATTAGCAAAAACAGGGGGTTATTTCAATGTGAAAACCACAGAGCCGATGATGACAAAACGATGATTCTCAATCACCTGAGGAGATTGGCGGCGCACTAGGGTTTTGGTGAGGCGAGTGCGGAAAGAGCAGAAGGCGGCAATTCCAGATAGGTGATCTTTGTGGGCATGTGTGAGGAAATGATGGCGCTTCAGCATAGAGGCGTGGCTCCACGTATCGACGGAGAAAGGGAGCCCTCGCGGAGTCTCGATCGACATCTCCCCTGTTTTTGCTCCTCTTCTCTCACCTGTATGTACTCTTTGCCGCTTTATGCAGTCCAAACCGACGGGTTCGTTCCTTCTCGTGGAAGGAGATGAATAAAAAGAATTAAAAACGGAAAATATATTATATCTGGATTAGCATCACAAGTCACTTTTGCATCAATACTCAATCATTGAGGTTCTACCATGTGTGCAGAAAGACCCCAATTTAATATATGAGTGCATCTGCATGTACATGTAAAAATACATGGGTGTATCTGTCTGTACGCGTGAAAATCTTCATTGAAGTCCTGGTGCAAAATTTCATTAGAACACCTTATAAAATAAATTTTCCTTGATTAGATAGATTAGATGGGCATGATAGTATTTTAGATATTATTAATAGTATTGTGGGGGGTATTTTGATAAATTAATATCATAATAGTGTCAATAACATCTAAAATACTACCATTCACACATGGATATTTGTAAATGATGTAGTATTTTCTTCTGAAAAGACAAACACACTTATCTTGTAAAGAGCTAAAGATTGGGCATTGAATTTATTTTAAACTAATTTATTATTTTTAAATTTCTTTTGTGAAAATATAGCAATTGAGTTTTTTTTTTTTTTTTTTTTGTATATTTAGAAGGCTAATTTTAAAGTTTTAAATTTAATTAAAATTAATTAAAATTGCTTTGACTTCAAAAGATTTAATAGTATTCCACTTATGTCCAAACTCAATTGTTATCATAGGCACATGGGCTAAGGATCAATGCATAGAAGTTTAGGAATTTATGGAAGTAATTTTAATGAATTTAAAACTACTCTAAAAATTTAAAAATTGTAAATTTTAATTAATTTGAGCTTAAAAATTTTATAGATTTTTATAAAGATTTTAACAAAGCTATCTACATGTTGTATCATTTATTTCTCTATTTATCAAAGAATCATGGTGTAATTGGTCACTTCAATTATAAATAACTATGGGCAATTCTCTCATATAACAATTTCCTTAATTCCTTCTCCATTAAATTCTTGATGTCTAATATCAAAAGCATCATTGAAAATTAACTCAATTGAAAATCGCCCAATGTTGAGATCCTAAATCCTCAAGCTATTTTGTACAAATGTCTTTGGAGGATGAATAGATGGTTCTATTATTTGTACAACCTGACAGATACCCTCAAATGTGGAAACCTAAAACTAATCCTTGAATACCAACATTGGACACTCATTGATAATAATTTAGTCGCAACCTTATACGATATTATATCACGCTCTCTACTAGCATGAGTTCTAAACTAAATTTATGTGATGAGGGTTGGAAAACCAAATAGCGTAAATATCAAGTCTCCAATTGCTTTTGTGTCATTCAATCAATAATGAACTTTACAACATTATTATGAAATACCTCATCACGACATGAATCTCTGCACACAAGAACTGAGGCATAACAAATTAGCATTGATGAACTATAGTCCCTAGTACACAATAAAAAAATTAATCTAGCATAAGAAACAACTAAAGCTATTCAAGCTACACTATTACTTGATTCACACCAAACACTTGTGATAATGAAAGGAAATGACCATAAGAAATACAATTTAAGTCATGGTTGTCCAATAATCTCCTCCAATAAACAATTTTGTACATCATATCAATCGAACCATGGAACTTCATCTCCTCACCCCACTACAACTGACAATCAAATTTATCATATAAGAGGTCACAAAATTTTAAACTGTTGGCATGGGTTGAAATAGAACAACAAAAACTTTTTCTCCAATTCAAAAGCACTGTTAGTTAACTTTCCCTCCAATTCAAACGCATTGTTAGTTGACTCCTCTTCCAATCCCAAAGTAAGGCATCTTCGTTTGGGAGTCACGTCACCCTTCACTACTGATTAATCTCAACTCAGTCGAACCACTTTATATCAAGGAGAGCAAAATTTTAGTTGGAAATGGGTTGTCATTTCCTATCTCCAACAAAGAACATTATTCCATCCCTGCTCCCTCACATAAGCTATATCTACAAAATTAATTTCATGTTACTCATCTCACCACCTCCCTCACATAAGAATATCCTCTCAATACAAAAAATAACATCATATAATTATTATATCATCACATAGAGGCCATATAGATACAAAATTACTATCTCTCAAACCAACAAGACAATTCTTGAAGGATCATGTTTGAATGTTATCTACTTTACTTTAACCTTCTTAAACTCAATAGTCTTAGTTCACAATTTCAAAGCATTATTTACAATTGCAAAATCAACTACACTTCTCTGGCATAGAAGATTGGGTCTTCCAGCTTACACTATTCTATCTTTTCTAGCAATAATTTTAGACAATTTATGTATTAAATCTATGTCATGTGCCTCGGGTAATTTTACTAAAATTCGTAAAAGACCCTTTAGCTCTTCTCAAAAGCATTATTATGCTCCACTAGATATAATACACTCAGTTAATGGGATTTCTCAACAAGTTTTTTCTAAATAAGGATTTTGATATTGCATTTTTTACTTTGATCATCACCCAGTTTACGTGGATATACCTTGTGAAATTAAACTACGATTCCATCTATAAATTTATAAAAATTTAGAAAATGAAAGAAAGATAATTCAGCGCTAAAATTAAAATTTTACACATGGATGGTGGCGGATAATACATGCAATCGCAACTTCAACAACTCCTCACCAATCAAAGATCACTCATGGTTTACATGACAATACCCAATGAAATTAATATCAAAACCCATATACAAATTTATACAATTTTAGCAAATGGCAGAAAAACAATTCAACATTAAAATTAAAATCTTCTGCATAGATGGTGGGGGATGGAACATATTACTACAATTTCAACAGCTTCTCATTAGTCAAGGTATACTCCATCAATGCAGTTGTCCTTATACCCTTTATTAAAATGAAGTAGTTGAATACAATCACATACACCTGTTGGATCGTGTGACAAGTTGCTACCTCCTATTGGAACAAAAACTTAATGGCAGATCATAAAGGACAAATAACAGACAAACCAAGTATCTGAATATTGTACCGAAAATAAAAAACTCACTTTCTACTCTAACTATATATATACCATATTGTAGATGTATTGAGATAACATGAAATAACATTTTATTCTAAAATTCCCTTACTTCATCCTTTTGTCTTCTTTTTTTAACCAATATTATAAGAAAATATATTTTTAACTTCTAGCAAGGATTGTGGTGATGGTAGGCCATTGGTTGCTGAGTAAATTCATTGAATTTCAAAGTTATGATTTCCAGCATGATCTAAATTAGTTGGATTAGCACAAATGAGCTGAGCAATGGTCGAGCAAGTATATCTTTTCTTAGTGCTGAGCGGCCTGGTTCTGATGAGCTTGTGAATTCTCTTAGTCAATCAATTCATAATCATGCCCGCTCATGGATATAGGCAGCTCTGAAGCAAAACAACTTAACCTTAATTAGGGACTGAAGATATATTTGCGCACAATAACCATTATTGATTCATAGAAAAAAATGTGGTTAACGCTCATGGCTTTATATTAATGTT